TGGATCTTCAAAAGGGCCAATAGGTTTGATTAATCCTCGATCATAGAGCCGATCAAAAGCAACATCATATGTCATTCCAATGGGTGTGAACTCTCTTTGGGGTTTCTTTTTAGATCCTTGATTATCCATTGCTAAGACACCGTTATGGTCAAAGGTACTAACATTGTTACTAGAGTAGGTGTTTTCGGAAGAAGAAGGGTTGTCGTTCTTCTTTCCTTTCTAGCCACTGTGGTTACTATTGTTAGTAGCTTTTTGCTTTGCGAGGTCATCTTCGATTTCAATACCAATTGTCATAGACGGCCTTGAAAGTATTCAAATTATGTTGGTATTTCAAATGCTTCGAATGCTTCTCTTGGAGATTCTTGATAAACATCCTTATAGATTATTTTTTGGTGGGAACCTCAATCATCTTAGCGGAAGTTTCCCTCCACTTATCAAAGAAAGAAGTAAAGCCTTCATTCTCTTTTTGTCTTAGCATCTCAAGTTCTCTATAGTCGGTATCGACTTGAATATTACACTTATATCTATCAATGAAAGCGTTTTTTATTCCATCCCAAGTAGAGGTTTTCTTTTTATCAAGAGAAAATAACCCAAATAGTTTCTAAGGATAATGTTCATTATAGTTTCAAAGGCCTCTAAGTGAAAGTAAGGATTGTCCGTTGGCTAGAACTTAGGGATGTCATTGGCATTGAACTTCTGCGAAAGAAGCTCCTTGTCCACTGAGACCCCTTGTGAGCTTATGCCTTGGTACCTATAATCATTAGAGAGTTTCTTTAAGCTTTCTTGCATGAGCTCCATTTGTTGTTGCTTCATATGGTCATTAATTTGAAGGGTCAAAGCCTTCATCATCTAAGTCATGCTAGCCACGTCTTTCCTAAGGTCATTGACTTCTTCTTGACTTGTCATTATCTTCTTAGCTTTTCTGTTTTGACAAATCGGTTTATCAAAAAGTGAGACTTGAACAAAGGTATTGTCCTTAATTAATCTCCCTTCTCTCCTTGACCAATTGCCGTGGAAATGGAAGTTAGGGGTAAGTTTTTTTTATTAATTATTTTGACTCAAGCTCTATCCAGCATGCAATGGATGGGAAGATTACATGGAAGGAAACAGAAATGGGATGGACCCTCAACTCAAATGACGGGAAAACAACTCATGCATGAACCTAAAACATGGTCATGGTGTGAAAAGAGTATGTACAAAGTGTTTGCTAAGACTAGTGAGTGTAGGTGACATGTTAAGGCTTGTTTCATGACCATGTGACTAGACTATGTGATTAGACTCGAACAAAGACTAAGTTAAGACCTCAAGTATGTGCACTAAACTGGAAAGGTTGTAGTATTTTAGTCATAACTTTTTATCTATGACTTTGATTGGGACGAAACCAACGCCAAATTAAAGTTAAAACTCGAGGCTACATATCCATAGGTTGTACAACTCATAAATCTTCCTAGAACTCCGGATATGACCAAAACAAGTTGCTTGTGCAGTATACGGGAATAAAAATCCAGGTTAACTCAAAGGAACTATGACTTGATTTTAGGCATATTTATTGGTTTTAATTAATTAATTAATTAATAAAGAAAATTCTTTTAGTCATTTATTTTGTTTATTTAGACTCATACACAAGTTAAACAAACGGTTAACTTAGTCACATAATAAGTATGCACAAGTAAGAGATGCACATGTAGTCACAAACCATGGCTCTAATTCTCTAAAATTCAAGGATATGGGTCAGTCAAAGAGGGTCCATGGTTATGCGTCTGAATTAATCGCGCGGAAGCCTTACCTTTGGAAGGGTTGGTGCGAGTGGATGGGACCCCGCGAGTTAAACTCGCTTCCATGGTTTGGTGAATTCAACAAACTCGGATGTACTCTTCGTTGCCAGGAGCGTTCAATTGGGTAGATGGAGCGTGAATTCCCAGAGGGTTATGGCCATATGTAGAACACATATGGGTTTTAGAAAAAAGGGAAAAACTCAATAAGAAAGTAAAACCGAGCAAACAGTACTAGAAAACTAGTCAAAATAAGAAGGTAGATTTCTGGCTCGGTATTGGATGAATTAGGCGCGAGAAAATAGCGTCGTCACCAAATGCTGTCACTGCCCCCAGACGACAAGACTGTTGCTAGGCGACAGCGCCATCGTTTAGCACTGACGCTGTTTTCTCAGCGCTAATTCCTACATGCCTCGACAGCTTTCTGTTCTTGAATTTTCCAGTTTTTTTTTTTTTTTTTTTTTTTTTTTTTTTTTTTTTTGTAGCATTATTTTGATTTTAGTTGTGATAGATATTTTCCTAGATTCTTACGTGTAAAAATCCTATGTTTTTTACGCATTACGGATGGTCTTCTCAATGCGAACCTTTTTATGCTTATGCCAATAATGTCAATCAAAATTACGCACATGAAATACTTAGAACTTTTCGAGTCTCACCCACTCATTCTAAATTATTGCCAAAATAATTTTAGGAATTAAAATAGAAATCTTCCCTAGTGGAGTCGCCAAAAAACTATAGGGAATATTTTAAGCCATCCACACTTGAGCCCCACTGTGATCATACACTTAAGCATGGTGGCGTCCAAAGGGAAGGAAGCTAGAGTGTAGACACCCATTTGTGTCTCCCCAAAACCAAACCCGGTGATGAGTACCTTTCATGTCGAATCATAATCGAATGAAGTGAAAGTGTGGAAACTCTAGTGTTGCGGTTAGTTTTTAATTCTTTTCTTTCTCTCTATTTTTGAAAACCTATTTTTAGAAAACATGCAATCCAGTTTGTTTTGGTCCATAGCAAGGGTCCAATAATAGAATAGTTGGATGGGATTCGAAAAGAGCTTTCCAACGATATATTATAAACCCAATTCCGATAAATAATGAGGAAGTTATGGCCAAATTACTAAAATGGGCCCAGTTTGATCTTTATTTGCGGCCCAATGATCTAGAGGAGGGTCTAACATTGATTTATCATTCTTAATGCAATTAGAAATGATTTTAGTTTTCTATATTCTTCTAGAAGGTTCTTTTCATTCCTAATTTAATTAGCATTGATAAATTAACTTTGGTTGACTTTTTAGAGTTTTAATCAGAGTAAAAGAAGTGTTTTTAAGGAAAATACGATTTTGCCCTTCTGTACGACTAAATTTTATCAAAATTAAGAAAACGCGTGAAATTAATTTCTAGCGCCTGACGACAGGATTAGCGCCTGGCGCTAATGTCCAGCGTTTGGCGCTAAATCTGTTTTATTCTCTTCGAAACTCTGATTTGTTTTTCTTTCCGTCCGGCTGATTTTCTCTATAAATAGCTTCCTAAAACCTCCGTTTTCTATCACCAACTCTCATCAAGAATTTCTTTATTCTCTCTCCTTCTTTCTAAACTAGCCTTTTACAAACACCATACCGCATTCACAAGGTCTAGACACACCTAGCCAAATTCGAAGTTGCCTTCGCCCTAGACGTGAAAGGTTTTATTTTTGAGGGTTTGGTCCTAAATCTAGTCTAAAATTTCTTTAATCTCTATTTCAATTCTTTGATTTAATTGTTTTATTATTTTCCTTGAAATTACTAACGTGTGCATTTCGTTATTAGAAAGGAATACGAGGCATCCAAGTAAATGCTTTAATTGTTTGCATTGTTATTATGATATAGAAATCATGTTTAGGTTCCTATTATGATTCATAGTATCATGTTAGGATGCTTGATGTTTTGAATGACAACAATGATTCCTAGTATTATGTTTAGGGAAAAAGTTATAATAACAAATATGCTTATTATGATTCTTGCGATGCTTCATATTTTCTTTCCTAATATTCATGAAAGTATCATGTTTGGGCTATATATTTGATCTTTATTGTTTAGTGACATGCTAGGGTTTGTTATTAATCTTGTTAGTATCATGCCTAGGATCTTGCTATTATTATGCTTTAACATGATTATGATTTTTAATTATTATAATTATAATTATAATTATAATAATAATAATTATTATTATTATAATTATTATAATTATTTATGATTATTATGTTGCTTGATATATTGTATTGTTATTTCTTGATCACACCTTTTATGCATAAAGGGAATTTGTACTTGTAATCATGCTTAATAAGATAATTAATAATCTTGTTTAGGGTTAATGTGATTATAATTCAAGTGATCTCCAATAATAGATTTATTTGTGCATTAATATTCAACCAACATAGATTAAGCAGGTTTAGGGTAATCCTATTGATTGCATGTTAGTCAGAAAGCGCACATGAATACGATCAGAATAAAGTAGAGGCTTATTATTAGGGTAGGTTCAATCTCTTTTAGGTTGGATTTGTACCTTCATCCCCGAACTACCAGTCATGGTTCCAGATCTATTGGAGTTGACGATCTCCTGGATCGTTAAGGGGTGTAACCTTCACCCTGTGAACGGTTTACAAGTTCTTAAAACTTGTTGGCAACCTGTGAAAGGGGATTTTTGGTGGTGGGTGGCTCGTGGTTGGTGGAAGAATTAAAGTATTAGCAATTAACAATAATTAGGGTTCTTAACAATAAGAATTAAAGAAGTGGCAATAGCAACAATCAACAATGAAGGAAATAAAAAAAATAAAGAGAAAGAAAGAGAAATAGAGGAGAAGAGGGAATTAGAGTTAATTAATAGTCATGTACCACGCACGTGACTAGGTCAACGCCGGAGAAAGTGGTCAACATCCACTTTCCAGCAGTTGGTGGTAAGTTGCAACAATCTTTTTAAAATTTGTGGTATTTAACAGTAGTTTTTTTAAAAGTTGTTTTTTTTAACAAAAAACAAGATTTAAAAGGTGATTATATGAAAATTTTCTATAATTTAATTGGACATAGAATTGGAATATGGTTAATATGTTGTTGTAGGCATGTATACTTGTAGAAGTACTTATCACAATATTAACTTCTTTAGTTCTCAATGAACCAAAATAATTTTACAAATAAGAAAGTGTATCTCCAGAAATTTAATGAAGAATAAACATACTTGAAAATATCTATCAAGGCTACATGGAATCTTCTAGGAATGGATAATCAGTGTAGCCAACAACAGGATCAGAGATGTAAAAGGTTTCTCTATTATACTTATTCAAAGGTGCATTAAGCTCAAATCTTCTCGGCAAATCTGGATTTGCCAGAAACAAGCGACCATAAGCTACAAGATCAGCATAATCCTTCATCACGACCTTATTACCATCTTCCTTGTCATAACCTCCTACAACAATGAAAGTACCATTGAATGCCTTCCTTATGGGTAGTAAACTATGAGGAGATTCCTTCTTCTCACCAATAGTTATCATCCTAGGTTCGACTGCATGGCAATAGAGGATTCCACTCTTGCTGAGAGATTCTGCCATGTAAATTCCTAGAGCTTCTGGATTCGAGTCACCTGATTCCATGTAATTAGCAAAAGGAGAAATACGAAACCCAACTCTATTTGCACCAATCTCCTTCACAACTGCTTCAACTATCTCTAGAGCAAATCTACAACGATTCTCTAGAGATCCACCATAATGGTCTTTTCGGTCATTAACTTGGTCTTTCATAAATTGGTCAATAAGGTATCCATTAGCTCCATCAATTTCAACACCATCAAAGCCTAAATAAGAAAAAAATTTGAATGATGATAGGTAATCATGAGGTATATCTAAGGATCACAACTTTAAGAAGAGTGACACTTAACTTTAAATACAATAAATATAAACAAAATCGTTTTTATTCCATCATCTACCACATATAGTGTTTTCTACCATAAATGTGTCATTTTAAAATTCTCACTTGTTAATAGAGGTAAAAAAAAAAGGAAAAAGAGTAGATAATTAGTGGGAAATTGTTCACTTAATTCCTTTCTTTTTTTACTTCTCCTTCCTTATTTATATGGTGTGAAACAGCGACGACTAATCTTTTGTTTTACTAAATTAACTACTTTAACTACTAAAAGGATTAAACATATGCAACAGTTCATCAAGTGCACAAAGGAAATTCAAAAGTATTGTAGCTCAATAAATAATTACAGTTTGATATTATTTAATAATTCATGATGGAAGAGTCATGAAATGTGGTGTTCAACCTAAATAATCCTTTTACACATGTTGCAGTTTTATATTTATCTTCACTATATAGTGTTAGATGCTTGTAAAATATGATATTTAAAAATATTACATCAAATGGTCATTCAACATATTGACTTTTCTAATTACACATTTAAGAAAGATCATATAAAGAATATAAACAATTGATATTTATATCCATTACTGACCTTTTGGTATGTGTAAATACTAAGAACATGAGAGTGGATTAGTACATCCATTCATGCAAAATCCATTATTTTTAGTGAAATTAAAAGAGATGGAAAAGGGGGAAGAATTTAGGGGAATGGTAGTCAATAGTCTTCTAAGTTACCCGGACTAAAAATTACTAGTGCTAATAGAAGCCCATGTCTAATTGTCTAACTTGAAAAAATTATAAAATAGCATGATTATAGTTTAACGTAAGTACCCACTTTCTTCCATGTAGGAGTATTGTATAATGAATGAACCTAAATACTTAAGATGAAGCGAAAATTCCAAAAAACACTATTAATCTTAAGGTCCTGCAATTTCAAATCCTGTAGAAGGCATTGGGTTTTAAAAACTGAGTTTAGATATAGTAGATATATTTTCCACTAAACATAAGAATATATAAATTGAATGTATATGTTTGTTTATTTTACTTTTGAACACTTACATACCAAATAGGGGAGTGAAAATAGCTAAAATTCTTCCATGTAGAATTTCTTTCTTGTTTTACATTCCTTCTCCTACTTACACCTCATACCATTTAATCAATTAGTCTTAGTGTAAGCCATGATATTGGAAAGAATTTATCAATTTTATTAACAGAATGGAACTAGTGCTTTGTGTCCAACTGTCGTTGTATGTACTTATTATAATCTAAATATATTAAAACATAACGACATTTCGAAGTAATTTCTTTCGCGGACGTTTCTCCCTCTTTAACACTTAACGTTGTAAACCCCATAGAATTAAGCATAGACATTCATAAAGCTATAACAAAAGGCTTAAATTATACAGTTTTTCCACCAAATATAATATGAATTTGAATGGATATAACCTTCAATCATAGTTTAAAGGTTGGAATCTTGAGTCTCGGTTAAAAAATGCTAAGTAACACTAGTTTAAAGCCTAAACTAGTCCAAGAATACATATATAAGCCCAAGCTTACGTAAAACTTTATAAATTTTCAATCAATCAATCATACTTTTCATTTAACGCCATTACTTATTTATAAGCTAAATAATTAGCCTAAAAATCCTATATAACAAAACATAATACAACTAGGAAATCTAATCCTAACTTGTAAAGATAAAGTTTCAAAAATATGATCTTTAATGCTAATCTATCTTCTAATAACCGAATTAAATATACTAACAATTATATCCTAATTAATTATGAAAATAAAAAAATTATTCTTGTAAGGATGCATAACTTTTGGATTGATGCCACTCAATCTCACGGTTAACAGACGACTCAATCAAAATTATAGAAAATTATTAAAATCTTAATCCCAACAACCATACCAATTTCATATGTTTTTGAATTGGATATAGACTTCAATCGTAGATGAAAGGTTTGGAATCTTTAGTCTCATTCTAGAAACGCTAAACAACACGAGCTTAAAACCTAAACTAGGCCAAGAATAAACAAGCATAAGCTTACGTAAAACTTTATAAAATTTCAAATCAATCAATCGTACTTTTCATTAAACATCATCATTTATTTATAAGATAAATAAATTATCCTAAAAATTATGTATAACAAAAAAAAATACAACTTGGAAATCTAATCCTAACTGTAGACACCTAAAAATGTCTCCCCAAAACCAAACTCGTTGATGAACGCCTTTCACCGCCATTATTGGTTGGGTTGAGTATTTAATATTTGGAGTGCTTAAATCCATGTTCTATCCAATATATTTCATGAACCAATCCAATTTCTAGCTCATTTCCCTTAACCATAACCTATTTTTCACTTTTCCTGTCCACATCGCAAAACCAAGAGAAACTTATTTTTTGGCTATATAATTTTGATCCAATTATTATTTGGTTGGATAGGCCTTTTAATAAGCTTTCAAACCATATATCATAAGCCCAATTCCAAGCTATAACGAAAAAGATATGAGCAAAACACTAAACTCGACCCAAAACTGACACCCTTCCACTAAAACGATCATATATTAAACTCTACAAATGATTTTGACCTGATCCTAATTGGGTTGGAAAGTAGACTTGATAATATTTCCAATGATATATTATATGCCTTATTCTGAGTTACGGATCAAAAGTTATGATGATTTTAAAAACGCGTAAAAAAACTGGAATTACCGCGCAGCAGCTAAAATACCGCGACGCGGCAAGATCTGACGTGGCACGGGGCAAATTCCCATGTCACGGTAATTTGGATGTGTTTTTCATTTTTTTTAGTGCCCCGTGACTTGGCATTGGTACCGTGACACGGCGCCTTATGCCGCGACACGGTGGACTTTGCCGCGTCACGGTATTTTCTGCCGTGTCACGGTGGGTTGCTGACGTCACGGTGCTCACAAAACTTCCCCGCGTCACGGGAGACTGTGCCGCGACACGGGGAGTACTGCCGTGTCACGGTAGGAATTCTCGTGTCACGGTGCCTTTCATGTGACACGGGACAACTTCATGTCCTATCCGCGTAAACCCTTTACGCGTTTTTACTCCCGTAGGTCAAATATTTCCCGCGTCACTCTAATTTTCCCCGCGTCATACTAATTTTCCCCGTGTCACAATAGAATCTGTCGTGTCGCGGTAGCCTTTTTTAGGGGTTTTATCTTTTTAGGGTTCCGCGTGTTCCCTCAGCTCATTTTCCCTACAAATAGGATCCCCCTTTCTGCAGTTCGGGGCACCAATAATCATTCTCTCTCACCTTACACCAAAAATCATTCTCTTCTCCCTCTTTAACCTAATTTCTAGCCTCCTTATTCTTCCATAATAATTCCCCTAAGCAATCCAAGGAGTCTATACTTAACCCGAGGTTCCGTCCTTAAACCAAGGCGTGAAAGGTACAACTAACTGAGGGCTTGGACCAAATCAAATCTACATTTAATTTAATTTAATTTTCATTTGCTTTATATTTTTATTGAAGTTACTAACAGTTTATTCATGATATAGCAATTTAAAGGAACGCGCGGAATGTGAGTAATTAATTAATTTAATTACTCTTATTTTATTTTAATATTGCTAGTATCATGATTAGGGTTATTTTATATTTGATTTGATTAACGCTATTATTGTTAAATTGCTTCCAATATTAATGTGTATTTTATTATTATTTATGATCACCACATTGCATTTTTAAAGGGAATATGTAATTGAAAATCACGTCTAATAAGATAATTTGGATAACCGGTTTAGGTTCCTTTTTAATCTTGTTGTTTAATCAAGTGATCACAATATTTTAGAATAATATGTTGCATTAATATTAAACCAATTTAGCTTAATAATAGTTTGGTGCAAATTGAATCTTTGTTTGTATGCCTTTGAGATCGCAGGAATCATTTTTCACTATAAGAATCGAGTAGAGGCCAATACGGGCGAATGTGACTCCATGACTCACTTCGTACCATCATCCCCGATCTCCTTTCATGGTTCCGAACCATATAGAGTTAGTAATCTCATGGATTATGAATGGGGTGTAACCTTCACGGGTCAATCGTTGTTGCCTATCGTTGTCCCTTTAATCGTGGTTGCCTTTTATGATCCGTGAACGGTTTACAAGTTCCTTAAAAACTTGTTGGCGGCTCCCTACTTTATTTGTCCCTAATCGTATTATGTCAATTCCCACTTCCTATGAGTGTCAAGCATATTCACACATGCTTTAACGTAGGCGCACTTCGAGCGACGCCTACAATTTGGCGACTCCATCGGGGAGGATTCTTGGTTATTTATCGATTTGAGTGATCGGTATTTAATTGAGATGAGTGGATGAGACTTGAAAGATTCTTGAATTGTATTCCTGCGATTTAATTGGCATTGTCACATATGCATATGCATTTTAGCTTACCTATTTTGCCACAATAGTACCTGTTCTACGTATGTGGCTAGCCCGGGGGATTTATGCTCTATTAACCCGAAAACGCTCATGGCAATAAGGGTTCATCCGAGTTTTTAAATCCACCCAAACCATGGAGTCGAGTTCGATTTCATCACGAACTCGCGGAGTCGACCGTGGGCATACACCCTCAAGGGAGGCTGCCTTGCTAACGCGTCCAAACTCTTAACCATGGTACCCTTTGACGACCAAAAGCTTAACCATAGTCGAACATAAAACTTGACTTTAGGTTGCGAACTTCATTGCATCATGCGTGACGATATGCTTATATGTGCATTTTTTTAATTTTTATTTATTTATTCTTTTTTTCACTTATCAAACTTTTCTTTTATTATTAGAGTCAAGCCATAGATTTTTTTATTTTTTAGTCACCCAGATTTTTATTCCCGTATACTGCACAAGAGTCAACTTGTTTTGGTCATTGCAGGAGTTCTAGAAAGAGTTAGTGTCGTGCAACCTATGGATTTATAGCCCCGGGTTTTATCTTTCATTTGGAGTTGGTTTCGTCTCAATCAGAGTCACAGATAAAAATTTATAACCGATATACTACAGCCTGTCCAGTTTAGGTGTCTTTTTAGCGTCAACTTTCTTTTGTTTTATTTTTTTAAAAAAATTTTTTTATATCTTTTCGTGTCAAGTGAGTTTTAGCTTAATCCTTTAATCCGTGTCAACTCATATAACATACGATTATAGATTTTTATTTTTTATTTATTTATTTTTTATACCCATGAGTCTTAACTCTTCTAGAATTCTAGTCCTCTTCCTAGTTTCTTGTAATCGGATTTTGTGCTAACCTTAATATGTGTTCTTTGTCTTTGATTGTGGTTGATCTTATTTATGACTAACGATTGCCAATGGACTGTTTTCACCTAGTAAATAGCATAAACATTAAAATTGGACAAAATTAATCAAGTTAGTTTGTCTTATAGTCTTCCATGCTATTTGGTCATTGGGTCTTTTGTTTTTCACAACGGCCTCATGACTAGCCATGCGATCATACCACGAGTCTTAATAAACTCACCTAATCACACATGTTGAGTCGTTGCACACACTTTGTCTTCGAGTAATGCACTATATTGTTTATGACCGTATATTAGGACCATACATGCGTCGTTTTCCGTCGTAATTGGAATGAGTGGAGTTTTTCCCATCAGTTTTCAAAATTGTTTCATACACTCTTCCTTTCCAAATTCGAGTATTGAGTGAATGCATTAAGTGAGTTCATCCTTACACAGTACTCGAGTTCAAGAATCACTAGTTAAGAGTTGGAAGAATAAGGGGAACGTCATTCCTTCCTTCTTTTCTTCCGTCCAATCAAAGCATCAGCAATAACAAAATTCTTGTTCCTCTTGGCGGTAACAAATAATTCATAAGCAATCATGAAGGCGAAGCACAAGACAAGTCTCTATACAAGATTTCATTTTTTTTCTTCTTTCGTTTCATCCCTTTTCCCCTAATAAGTCTAACATAGGTTCTTCTTATCCTTATGTCTATATGCCATGTTCCATCAACGAGCATTTCTTTCCTTTGCATTCGATCATGTCATGCGCAAAAAAAATAAATAAATAATAAATAAATAATAAAAAATAAACAACAACTTGTAAAGATAAAGTTTTGCAAATATGATCAAAAATGCTAATCTATCTTCTAATAACTAAATTATACTTACAGTTATATAAATATAAAAATAAACAACAAATTCTTAAAACCATGCATAACATTTGGATTGATACTACTTTATCTCACTGATAATAGACGACTCAATAGAAATAATAGAAAATAATTAAAATCTTAATCATGATGCATTTGATCTGCATCAAAATACCCCCTCAGTTTTCAGTTTATTTAATATAGGAAAATTTGTCAATTACTACCGCAAGTTAATACTACTTTGTAAATTACTACCGCAAATTAAAAAAGTTGTGAATTACTACCACAAAAAATTTTAAGATGTTGCGATTACTACCAAACCCCTATTAAACCCAACTATGACGTCATTATATCACTTTAACCCATGGTTAAAGCCCTTAACCATGACGTCATTATATCCCTAATCCATTTCCTTTTTTTTGGGGGGGGGGGCTGGTTAAAGCCCTTAACCATGGTCAAACACGGGTTAAAGGGATATAATGACGTCATAGTTGGGTTTAATAGGGGTTTGGTAGTAATCGCAACATCTTAAAAAATTTTGCGGTAGTAATTCACAACTTTTTTAATTTGCGGTAATAATTTACAAAGTGGTATTAACTTGCGGTAGTAATTGACAAATTATCCTTTAATATACACTCCTAGATGTTTTTAAATACACCATATACATATAATTAAGTCTTCACCAAAATACACCATATACATACCTTTAATGATTTAAGATTAGTGGAGTTTGGCTAACTATGCCTCAAAACTATCCCCTACATTCCCTACCCCTGAACCACCCTCCCTTCCTTCCCCCACCCCTAAAATCTTAAGGGTGGGTTGTTTCAAGGGTAGGGAAAGGGGTTGTGGGTGATTTAAGGGCATAATTTAACTCTAAAGATTTACAAAACTAATACTCCCTCCGTCCCATAATATAGTTCTTGTTTGTGTTTTTTCACGGCATTTAAGAAATTGGAAGAGAATGAAAGTGGATGAAATACATTGATAAAAGTGAAAAGTACAATCATAGACAAAAGTGAGAGAGAGAGAAGGTGGAAAAAATACAAAACATGTGCAAAATTCAAGGGTAAACTAGGAAGTATAATGAATAAAGTTAAAAAAAAGCAAGAGTATAGTAGACTTTATATACTATCCAAAAATAGAAACATAAACAACATTTTGGATATTCAAAATAGGAAAACAAGAATTATATTATGGAACAGAGGGAGTAATAGTTAGTTATTAAGGGTATTTGATGCATTTTTGAGGAGGGGATATGGTTTATTATAAAAGTCTAGGGTTATATGGTGAATAAATAAAAATCTCGAGAGTATATGGTGAAATAAATCGTAAACAATATTTGACTAGTTTTGTAATAAATAAATAAAGATAATTAGAAAACACAATTGAAGTTACAATCTCCCATTAAATACTCTTAGGTTGATCGAAAACTTACCAGCTTCTATGGCATTCTGAGCAGCAAGTTTGAAATCATTCACTACTGAAGGTACCTCTTTTGTTGTTAGTTTCCTTGGCGTTGAGAATTGTCCCTGAACTTTTGGTGTTAAAGGTTTATTAGTGCAAGAGATTGGAGATTGTTTATTTGGCTGTAAACCTATGAACAAGCAAATTTGAATTGAGTTAGTTAGAGTTGGGGGGAGATCGAAAAATGGAATTAAAAAAGAATCTAATAACTAAGTGAAACAACTGGAAAATTTATGAAATATAAGTAAAAGTAATCAGAATCCAACCACAACCAATCGACTTATAGAAAATTGAATTACCATATAATATGTCCAATCAATACAGCTTAAATTTGAAGCTCAATATAAATGAAACCAAGCTGTATAACTCATTAACACTATGTTTGGATAACAATAGTGAAGGGAAAGGGAGGTGAAGGAAGGGAGAAGGTGAGCTTTCATTTTCCTTCTAAATCTCTCCAACAATGGAGAGATTTGGTCTATTAAAAAGGAAAAAAAAGGATGGATTCTTCCACTTCCCCTCCCCCCTCCCTCATTGCATTAGTTATCCAAATAAAGGATGATGCATACTTCCTTTTCTCTTCTCTTCCTCCATTTTTCTATATTCAAACATATAGTGTAAGAGAATAAGTATAATGTATATGAAAGTTTAATGTGATTAAATTAGTAACGCTTTGTTTGGATAGCAAAGAAGGAGGGAAAAAAAGGGGAGGGAAAATGGAGGAAGGGAAGGGAAAAGAAAGGGAGGGGGAGGTGAGCTCCATTTTCCCTCCAAATCTCTCCAATTTTGGAGAGATTATGGTTATTATAGATGAAGGGAAAATGGATCCCTCCCTCTCCTTCCCCTTCCTTCCCCCAATCTTTTACCCAAACAAGAGATTTTGTCCCCCTCCATTTCTCTTCTCTTCTTTTCCTTCCATTTCTTCCTATCCAAACAAAGTGTAAGTCTCTTAGCTTTTCAATGATGAGCATAAAAGAATTGATCAACCTAACCAAAACCATAGAAAAAATTAATTATCCCCAAAAGTTTATATGAAGTATTTAATAACTTGAGAAAAAAGAAAAGAGTATGACTCAAATCAGTGACCTTCATTAGAAACTCGTCCAGCATGCCATATTTGACAGAAAAATATGCCGCCTTTTGCATGTACAGCATCAACAATTGGTTTCCATGCTTCAACTTGCTCTTTTGTCCATATACCAGGTGTTTTTGGGTACCAGCACAGTAGAGGAGTTTTAACCTTTAGAAGAATTTTTTGTTTACTTAAAAGTGTATAACTAAAGCTAACTACCACAAGTGTACCCTTGAGCAGTTTGAGAAACTCCAGTTGCTTCAGAAATGAGCAACTCTCCATTTGAAGTCCGCTGGGAGTAATATAAAATTCCATGTGGTTGAGGAACATTTCCATATGATCTTACTCGCGTTAATGGAGCCAATACAACCCTGTTAAGTTAAAATTTTAACGATTAAAATAATTGTCACGTTTTTAATTGAACAAATCATTCATCATCCATCACAGACTTCAGTATTGGCTTGACCAAATTACTATGTTTCTACTAAGCTGAATGTATCACGAAATCACATACACACATGTGCGTGAACACACACACATAAAACACAAATTAAAATAAATGTCAAAATAATTAAGCAATAGCAAAAATTATTTGTTGCAAAGATAAATAATTTTAATAGTCATAATAACCATTAAGTACGTAAGAACAGCAGAATAAACCAAACGGTATCTTAAATTGTCTAAATTTTTACTTTATTCGTTTCTCAACTGATGCACCTCATTATTTTTAGGATATTTTGTAATTGGCGAGTCCATTCTCTTTTTAGTAAAATTTTATATACGAAATTACTATTTGTTGCCCTCAAATTAAGTGGGGATGTACTTCACTTTTACTTTACATAATATGGTAAAGGTTAGTATGTGAAAAATCACGTAAATTTCTCCACTTTCCTTTCTTTTCATTGGTTAAGTGCCTACATGCAAACTAAGAAGCATCATTTTAGAAACGCCAGAAGTATTAGGTAATCATAGTGTTGAAATAAGATCATTTAATTTTACCAATGATACAACAAGATCACCAACTACAAACACACATAAGCGAATGAGTAAAATTCCATTTTAACATAAGTGATTTTTTAGACGAAGTTATTGATGAGAATAATGAAGAGAATTTATATTTATTTGATTTTGAAAATCATACACGCGACTATTACACTTATACAATAGATGATACACTACTACTTGGCACAAAATAGGTTTCATTGTACCTATTATGTACCTTTTGGACTGTGCCATGCATAGGAAAAGTAAAAAAGAAAAATCATTAGCAATTTTTTGTCCCTTGGAAAATCAAAGAATGTGTTTAAATAATATTGTAATTTTTGCATGACTGATTGATTAAATACCAATCAATTCAATGAAAGTTAAGAAGTAGGCCAAGGGAAGAAAAGAACTTGTATGTGAATTTAATAGAGAAATAAATAATACAATTGACGAAGAATATTAAAGAATTTAAATGCTAGAGATGAATGGGAACGATAGAGTATTAAGGCAAAAAGGAATTATAAAAATTCTCTCATAAATAAATTATAATAAAATAAATTCAAATGGTGAAGGAGAGGATGACATGTGATGTATATAGTATGTGTTTTCATGTTAATAGGTATATAAGTACAGAGGAAGCATAGTAATTATTTTAATTCAAGGTCTCAACTATTTAACATTAAGCGGTTGTTATTTATGCACTATTTAATTGAGTACTCTATTTAATTGAATATTTAAGTTTTACTTTTTATAAATCACGTGTCATCATTTCTATATTTGTTTTAGTGCATAGATTTTTTTTTAATTATTATTATTAATTATCTTAAAAATATCTTAACTTATATGGGATATATATGTATATTATGGCTAAGATGATATAAAATTTTATATTCTTTCCATTTAAAAAAAAAAGCAAGAGGCGTTGACTTAATGTATATTAAAAATTGTACAAAGTTCATTTTTTTTACTAACTTAAATTTACCAAAATCAATTTTGATTTGGTAAATATATTGTGAATCTTGTGCAATCAATGTTTAAATAGTAAATGTCATGTAAAATGAAAATAAAAAGAAAAAAAAAAATCAAAATAGTGATTTATAGGGAAAAAACAGCACCAAAAAGTGACATGTGTCACTTATGGTGTCTGTTTTAGTATTAAGTTATTCATTCTCTCATGAAAAATCTATAATAAAATAAATTCAAATGGTGAAGGAGAGGATGGAGGACATGTGGTGTATACAGTTTGTGTTTTCATGCAATAGGTATGTAAGTGAGGAAGCGGATTAATTAATTTAATTTAAGGTCTTCATTAACATAAAGCAGTTGTTATTTATGCACTATTTGATTAAAAATTTATTAGGAGATATGTATATTATGGCTAAGATGATATAAATTTTTACATTCTTCCCCTTTTTTAAAAATGCAAGAGGCGTTGACTTCATGTATATTGAAAATTGTACGATGTTCATTTTATTTTTTACTAACTTAAATTTACAAAAATCAATTTTGATTTGGTAAATATATAGTGAATCTTGTGTAATCAGTATTTAAATAGTAAATGTCATGTAAAATGAACATAAAAAGGAAAAAAGAAAAATCAAAAGTGTGATTTTGGAAGGAAAAAACAGCACCAAAAAGTGACATGTGTCACTTTTGGTATCTGTTTTAGTATTAAGTTATTGATTCAGAGAGATAAAGCAGTTTACATAATTTTACTAGTAACAACAAGAAAATACCCCTTTTTCATCGGCCGAAAATCATCGAGAAACGATGGAAATACCATCAGTATATGCATAGAATTTTGTAACAAGTAAAACTACCGACAACAATTGTCACCTTGAAAGTATTCTAATTGTTCTAAACTATCCTATTATGCATTCTATCCTTAGTATTCTCTACATCTCTTTCATAGTGAAAAAAATAAATAAATACTTATCAGATTTATACGACTAATTCCACTCTTACAAATATGAAACTTAGAATTCTTCAAAATAAATGGTTATGTTATAAAGTCTCATAATCATTCTAGAATTCTAATACTTGTAACAATCCATGATGATCTCTACTAAGCGAAAAAAATAATAATTTCCACATTGCAGCATGCATATATATTGACAAACATTTACGGTACATAAACCTGATAAATTTTAAAAACATGCTGCCCTCCATTTTTTTATATCATTTATAAAAAAATTCCAGGAGATTTATCTACACTTCAACATATTGATTTGTCTTCTCAATTTATTTTTATAATGTACTTTTTTTTTTATATATATATAATCAAATAGTTTTGAGAATTTTGTAATAACATATTGTATTGGAAACTGTGAAAAAAAAAAGACAAATAGAACAAGGAATAAATGAAAAATTCAACTCACCTATGAGAAAGATGGAAGTTGCCCATTTGATAAGGGGTTAAGAGAGGGGTAGTTGCAGAAACTAGAGCCATTTCCACACAAAATTTATACGTAGTAATTTTTTTTTTCTTATTCACTCAACAAACGCTAAAATTAATAAGTATTATTGTGCCAAAAAAACCTTCTTGCAATTTTTGAGGTGGGTGGATTGGTGGTGCCATATGCTACCTACACATGATAGAAAAGATATTTATGTATCATTTTAGAAAATTTGAGAGGTATGAAGTATATCATTCATTATCTTATCTTAGCTCAGTCAATAGGTCAACAAATCAAAGTAAATAAGGTAATGAAATCAAGTGAAGGATTGTGTGATCTTTCCTTTTTCTAGATCTAGTATACCTATACAGCAGTGACATCTATGATAGCTCTCTATAAAATTGGCTAAACAGGTGGTAACCCATAAATAAAACTCACTTGTTTATGGCTTGTTTTCTTCAACTTATTTTAGGTATTAATTATTGATTTTTTAATAAAATTGGGCCAGATTAGAACTTTTAATAATTCTCGTTTCTTATTTGATACGGAGTAATGGTTTATCTTATAGATTAGTGGTATAATGTGATCAAAGTTTAGTCAAATAAATACATTAGTTAGGTTAGACCAAACTAAAAAATTCAGATAAGACCAGTCTAAATCATCACTTACCTCCTCTGTTATCTTTTAGTCATAACATTTTCAATTTCATGGTTGCCATTACATGCATGGTTTCAAATCTTTATATCTTTAGCCAAAGATACTATCTCTGATTCCAAGAAAAAAAAATCCATTTTGACTGGCCACGTATGTTAATGCAAAATTTTGATCAATATTGTCTTTAATTATCACTATGTATAACTTCCAAATAGTTTGATATTTAGATTTACGGCTATTTCACCATATGCCACTGGGCACTTTAATAATTCATCAAATGTCATCAAGGTTTTTAAAATTCACCAAATGCTACCGAGTTTTTAAAAATTCACCGACTACCATTAATGACTAACGGCCATTAACTCCGTTAGTCATTAGGGTTTAATCATGACACATGTCATAATATGACTGGTTCTTTTTTTAAAGAAGAACATTGTTTCTTGAATTTCGTTACAAAAATTGTTCGGGTAAAGTTTTGGGGGTTATTTTGACCCTTTATGGATTCAAATTAAACTCGGAATTGGCAAAAAAAAAAGAACAAAAATGCCTCATTTTGAATGTCAAAAAATATCTTGATTAGCGTATCATTAGTTTTTAACCATGAAAAACGATCGGGTAAGATTTAGGAGGTCATTTTGATCCTTTATGGTTCCAAATTAAGCTCGGAATTGGCAAAAAAAAAAAAAAAAAAAAGCTTTATTTTGGTCCTTTACGTTTTTTTTTTTTTTTTTGTGTTTTTGTTTTTATTCTGATCTTAATTTCGACCCTTAAAGGGTCAAAATGACCTCCTAAATCTTATCCGATCATTTTTCATGGTTAAAAAGTAATGATAAGCTAATCGAGACATTTTTCGACATATAAAACGGAGCATTTTTGTTATTTTTTTTGCTAATTATGAGCTTAGTTTGAATGCATAAAGGATCAAAATAGCCCCCAAAACTTAACCCGAACAATTTTCATCACGAAAATCGAGAAACAATGTTATTTTTTTAAAAAAGAACCAATCATATCATGACATGTGTCCTGATTAAACTCTAATGACTAACGGAGTTAAAGATCGTTAGTCAATAATGGCACTCGGTAAAAATTTTAAATGCCCGGTGACATTTGGTGATTTTTTTAAAAACTCGGTGACATTTGATGAATTTTGAAAACCTAGATGTCATTTGGTGAATTATTAAAGTGCACAGTGGCATTTGGTGATGCCGTTAGATTTAATACATCATGACAATTCGATCTTACATGTACCCACATGACTATTTTTTTTATTATTATATATAAATCACTAATATTAGTCAAAGTGAACTACGTGAATATTAAAAAAGTCAAGCTAGGAAATCTATTTGAAATGTAGGGATTAAGTAATTAAAATTATAAAAATTTAATGATGTGAAAACATAAATATATAGTCAAATCTAACAAAATATCGCATAAATATATTTTATCAAACATATAAAAACATTAAAGGTGGTCAAATGGAATAACACAAATCATATAAATTCCCAAGCACTGCAAATGAAAGAGAAACAAGAAAGTATTTCAAATTTAATTAAAAAAACAAGTGTATATTAGCGCTAATTCTTATGCATAGGTTGGCCACACAAAGCTTACGTAAAAGGTATAGTTTGGGTCTTTAGGACGACCTAAACAAAATTGTCTTCCTTACTTTATTTAAAAAAGAAAAATAAAAAGCGAAAATGATGCATCTTTTGTTTAGGGTAAAAATTACCCCTACACATGGTCCAATCCAAAAGTGATACGTGGTCCAGTAAAAGGGTGACACATGCCCCAATATAAAAATGATATGTGGCAACATGAGAGCACCTGACAAGAGGAAAGGCCTCCATTACATCATCAAGAGGCCCAATTCCTCAATTCCCAAGAAAAGCATCATAACGACGCCCCCAAGAGACATGTTTCTCTACCTGGTTGCACCGCTAATAAGTGCACTCTTTTTTAGGGAACCAACTCTAGAATGAAAACATTCTCACCCCTATAAATATCCCAGTCATTTATGATGGGAAAGGTAGATTGAGAAGTATCATTCAAGGCTTATTAAATTGCTCTAACTTCTCTCTACTTTCACTCTCTAGTTATTCACTAACTGATTCGTCGAAGGTGAATATTCCGTCAACCGAAATATTTGTTGTTTTGCAGGTGTCTGCGGCTGACCAGCTATATTCACGACCTTTATCCTAATGGATTTTAAAAAACCTCAAAACATCTTTCTTTTCCTTATATTTACAATCGTCATTTCTATTATTAGTGCTAGACACCTAATTAAATGCGTCTCCTTAAGATAAAGTTCGATGATGAAACAATTTTCACTGTCTACTTTTGTCTAGTTTGTGTAATGGATCAAATAATTACTTGAATAACTCCTACTATCGTTTTCTTCTTTATACACTAGTTTTTTGTAAGCCATTTTACCATTTTATTAGCCAAAATCCATAAACCTTTACCCAATTTTCTATTCTCTTAATCACTAACGGAACTAAATGAAATATATATATTATTGGATATCCCTTGAAATAAACTTTTCAATGATATATTATAAGCTCAATTTAGATTTAAACCAAAGGAGAGATGAGGAAAATACTAAACTCAATTCAAAACTGACACTCTTGCACTATTTCCGCATATATTAAAATATAAGAGACAAGATTAAGCTGCTAATAGCTATGAATTTCTTGTCATTCGACAATAAAATTAATTAAAAAAAAACAAAGAAAATACAGGAAAAAGAAGAGAGGTTAGGTAGTGGTGGCAGTGGTGGTGATGGAGATGAAGGTTGACTGGAAGGAGAGTGATGGGAAGGGGAAAAATGATTTTTTTTTAAATAATTATATGCCAATTAGAAAACAACACGTGTTTAGTCACCTCCTCCAACAAGATACCAAACTAACAAAACTGGTCAGGGATTGTACAAAAAAAAAGGGGGTCAAAGGTGGGATTATTTTGGAATAAATTGAAGGTGGTATTCTTTCGTAAGACCGAACAAAGGTGGAATTATTTTTTTTATATTTTTTCATATTAATATAGGATTTATAGCTACGTTTATGTTTTTTTATAGTTGCTTTTCATGTCTTTTAGTTTCTTTTTATGTTTAAATGCGTAAGTTGTCCATTTTGTGTTATGTTACTATTTAATTGTGTTTTCTTATTGTTTCATGTAGTTTTCATAATTATTTGAACCATTTTTGATTGGTTTTGGAAAAATTGGACAATGACAGGATGAAAAGCCAATGAATCGAAGTAATTGAATGAAGGATATGTGTTTGTGGAAGCTTAGGTCAAGATTTAAAAGAATACAGAATGAAAGTAGCATCCACAAGATTTAAGTCGTTGAATGAATGACCTATGTGTTTGTAAAAAAGTTGATGAATCGAAGTCGTTGAATAAAGGACATTGTTTAGTTGAAGATTTAAAAGAATACAGAATTGAAGTTGCATCCACAAGAGTGACTATGTACCTCTCGGAAAAGAATTTGAGTTGAAAACAAATAAAAACGATGGTTTATAAAGTGTAGAAATTACCTTTATTCACTCATTGATAATAACTTTTGTTCTACATATCGGATAAAGATGATTCAAGTTGGGTTGGAAACTAGAATTGAAGATATTTCCAAATATAGGTCATATGCCCCTATACAATCCTCTGAACAAGAGATATAACCTCTATAAATCTTCCCTGTAAACCAAAGACAAGCTACGCCCGCAGCTTGACACACCCAGCCATGAGCAGCTTCTAATTGGCATGCCAGATACCTAACGGTTGCTGGTTTCTGCGCCCAGCAGGCCAGACTTCCCAGCGTTAAGCGGCCGTTAATAACCTTCCTCTAATACGACTCCTTTAAATCGACAATCAATCATATTCCAACTTATGTATAATACATTTTCATATTTTATTTAATATTATTTATTTTTATGTTGGATTTTAAGATAATCTAAATACTCAAGGGATTTTGTATTACCTTATGCCTTTTGTTGGTTTAAGTTTATTATAGTTTTCAATTGAACCCTAACTCTTCATGGATTCTTCCAATATTGATTTTTAGATTTATAATGTCAATTTATTGTGATATATTTATTTCTATATTTTGCTTTCAATTATGGTTCTGTTCTTAGATATAAGTTTGCTTAATTATTTTGTGATTGAATATTTTTATTTCTAAGGTTTGGGAATTCATGCTAATACTATAAGTCTTTATTTATGTTATTGGTATTTTAATTATTGATATCTCTAATTGATAGTGTTATATTGTTATGTTAATCTTGCAGCCTAATCAACTATTTGATTAATTATTGTTAACAAGAGTTTGAATCAAAAGATCATACTTTTAAAGGCATGCCTACAATTAGCAATTTTGATTATGTTAGCGACCGTATTGCATGTATTAAATTGAGAGCGGTAAGACCAAATCGTAGGCTTGGCTAGGGGTGCTAATTGAGTTGAGTAGCTCTCGAGCAACTCATACTCGACTCGGTCAATGCTCGATCAAAACTCGACTCGAGAT